TCCCTGGTTTTTTCTTTTTTCCGGTACCGGGGATCGAACTCACGACTGCCTGCTTGCAAGGCAGGTACTTGTGCTCCCTATTTTAAGAGAAAGAAAACCTGTGTGCACTTACTAATCTTCTTTAGGTCAATGACTGAAGCCAAACTAATGCTCAAGCCTCCGTCTCTGTTTCTTTAAGCCTTAAAGAGATTCAGAACAGTGGATTGGATTCCGTACAGCACCCTATATCAAATTCCATGTCTTTAACATTAGATACAATTTCATTTCTTCTCAAAGTCTTTACTGCTTTACATTTGCCACTCTCATAGCCTGTCTGACTTTTCTTCAGGAACTTATCATTTCTCTGTCTGTCTCACCCCTTCCAGCAGTAGTCATAAATTCTATCATTTTCTACTGGTTCTTACTCAAACTCTTCTCTTGGACTTACTTTTCCAATTTTATTCAAATAACTGAATACTCTTCCAGTTCTGTTTGGCCATTCCTTGGAGCTCATGATCTGTGCTGTTTTCTCTGAATGGCACTTATACTTAAATGTGGCACAGAGTAGTGTGTCTTATACTTTCTTCTGGTCTTGCTCCTTCTTACAACCACAGAAACCTTTTATTTCTTTGACTTTCTAGGACTTGATCTAGGACATAGCCTGATCCTAGAAATGGGTCCATGGGATTCATAGAACTTTTTAAAATCTCTTCATCATTTTGTATCAAATTATAAGAAATTTATCAACTACCATTCTATCTTTCTTACCAGGTTTAATGGGTTTCAAATTAAGTATGCCATGAAGGAGCTCCTGATAATACAGCGTGAGACACAGTGAAAACACACAAATGTGAATCAAATCAAATCGGTGTCCTGGGCAGTTTGAAAATTTGCCGTTTAATCATTGGGGAAAAACTGGACTTCATATACTTTTGCATTTCTCGAAGCTAGTTGACTTACAGGGACATTACACTGTGGACATTCTCCCTAGACACATGGACTCAGCCATAGTATTGTTAGCCATGTGTCATGTATGTGCTGTACAGTGTTTCACACTCATTTCCTATGTCCTTAATGGCCTCACAAGTTTGGCATTGTTAACTTCCTCTTAAGGACAAAGAATCTGGTTTTCAAGGTGGTTCTGTAAGTTAATATTCTTCTATCATGACAGCCGGCAAGTTGCACAACCCGAGTTCATAGCCAGATGAAGTTAAAAAGCTTGCATTGGATTCTCTACTCAGCACTGCCTAACTTTTGGGGGATATATACTTCTGATATCACCTCCAATTATTGGCAGATAGCTTTTTGAGAGGAAGACAGTACTTACGTACAGATGATGCTAGACATGAGTTTATCATTGAGATTTCAAGAAATGCACCCCCCAAATATTTGAGGTCCCCCTACTTTGTACATGTTCTCTGCATCCTTGGCCAAACACTCCCCAGTTCTGCCTTTTGCATAACAATTGCATCTGTGGTCCACTTAAGAATGGATAACAGGCAAGCTTTGACAATATAGGAAACTTGGCTTTAAATAAATGTCTGTGTGGGTTCTTGTTCACAGGAGTCACTAAGTGTATCCACCTCCATTTGAGGACTTCACCTGCAAGGGCCCATTAGCACTAATGGGTCATTTTCCTTCTATCACTCCAATAATCAAAAGGAGAGCTGCATTTTTGATGAGATGGTAATGGCACATAGGGCTGAGACCACTTAAGAGTTTCCTTTGTTGTCCTATGGCAACCCACCAAGGGACTCGAGACACTATCTGCTACATGAAGAGTTTAGAAAGCTATACGAAGACCATACTAAATGGTGGTGCTAAGTGCTGCTTCAGTAATGAACTGGAAATGAGTTCCCTATTTATAAAGCTGAGTTTGTCTGCTTTGGTTTGCTTGTTGAGGTTTGCATCCTGCATTGCTTGAACTGATGCTTTCTGCTCTTTAGTAACACAGAGGGAAGTTACTAGTTCTCTTCAATACGTTCTAGAAAGTTGTCAGGCAACTGCTTTAGCTAATAAGACAGGAAGTGGGGAGAGGAAGAAGGAAATTCATTTCACAATTAGCGTTCTCTCCAAAGAATACCTTAGCATTATCCTTTCCTTTCTTCTTCTTCTCTTTTTATTATGACCTCCATCTATCAAGTGGATGGCAATATTTATTGAGTTCCTATTGGTTTTGGAGCCTGATACTAGACACTATGGGAGAATAGACTTAATCTGTGTCCTCCAGTAACTTGCAATGAGAAAGAAGAAGACTGACAATCAAGTACTTGGCATTTCGTATATAATTTTTTTTTTTTATCCGTACCGGGGCTCGAACTCACGACTGCCTGCTTGCAAGGCAGGTGCTTATGCCGCTGAGCTAAATCCCCAGCCTTCATATATAATTTTTAATACTAGGTTCTACATCGGAGAAGCTTGAGGCAGTGCTAAGAGTTCTTCATTCAACTCCCATCATTCTCTAACATTACATCCATTACGCCTGGAGGAACAGAACTAAAAAATCTTTTTAAACAACTTTAGTTAAACAAATGAATATAGGGAGCACATAACTGAATTAATATTTGACAAGTAAAAGTATACATCTTAGCTGACAGTCTCTCTTTTTTTTTTTTTTTTTTTTTTTTTTCTGTAACTCACTGTGGTTTCTATTTTGAACTCTGATTCTTTGAGTTAGTGAAAATATAATCTCAGGCAATTTTAGTTCCCTCCTTTCCCTGGCGTTAAGAGTAAATTACTGGCAGTGGGGGGTAGAAGTTTCCACTGTACCAGTTTTTTGAGGAGGCAGAAGGAGGGAGCAGGGAAGTGGTTCTCAAACGGTCTATATTCGTAGTTCGGGTGTCTACTGAATTTCTGCCCAGCCTATTTGCTCTTGTACACATGACCTTTTCAAGTCAGATTTTTTTTTTTTTTTTTGCTGTTTCTGGGGCATTTGGAAATGGATCTCCCTTACCACAGTGCAAGAGACAGAGTGTTACAAGGATTTGTCTGCTCCCAGCAAGTCTAACTCTACCCTCTGTCGGTTCTTCTTAAGAAGCCCTGTTGCCTCTGGTTCACCTGAGCAGGTGCACACAGAGCTCCATCAACTCCCATCCCTCCTAGGATGACAGCACTGAGGTTTGGCTCTTAAGTCAGAAAACTATGCCCTCTTTTTGGAACTCATCAGTGATTGCTGTGCTCCTCCAGCTTCTGCTTGCCCAAACAGGTGCCCGATAAAGTTTACTCCCCTGGTGTAAATGCCTACATATTTTGTCTGTTTTATTCCTACATGGCTCTAGACTTTTAAGACTAAGATAGAATGCTAATTTTATATCTTCATGATTCATCACCGTTCTCTGGGGCAAGTAAAATACAGCGGCTTAAAATTTAAGTGAGAGGAAAAAACAAAAGAGAGTGGAAATATGGAGAAAAAAAATCAGATATTATTTCAAATAGAACCCAGACCAAAAACATGCCATCTTTTAAGATTAAGGATGATGCTTGGTAGTCAATACACCTTAATTTTATTTGAGATGGGGGAAATAACAACAGCTGTTATGTTAATATTATAGAGGGTCAAAGACATCCTAGAATAATACAGCTTCAGTTGGTAGGTGAAGGGACCACATATCCCATTATGTAACACTAAATGACATTGGTAAAGCCTTGTGATTCTTCTGTTTTCTGTCTCAGTACTCTCACAGGTACTATTCAGGTGTTTTAGGTCTGTGGTTCAGTGCTGCCCTGCTTATGCACAAAGAAGTTAGTTTCCTGAGTTCTAGCAAAACAGAGATTTCTGGGTCAAAGACCCAGAAGGACTTTGTACTCACATCTCAACAAATAACATACATATCAGTTCTTTCTTTTTCCCCGTCTCATGCAGACATCATGAGGGATCCAGGTGAACATGGGAAATGCACAGGTTTTGTGCTGAGTGGAAAAATATGTGACAAGTGACATAAGATTGAAAAGAATGATTAATAGGAGAGAGCAGAAACAAAGTTTGTCATCACAATTTGTGAACAGAAGTAGCATTTTATGGAATTTTGAAGTTACTTTTTTACACTAATTGTTTGCTAGAGTCTAGTAATTACACATACTGAATGCCATTCAAATGCAGTGAATAATCTCCAGGAAGAGAAGAAATAGAATCAAGAATGAATTACATTTTTTTTTAAATTGGTAAATCATAAAACTGGTGAATCCTGAACTAGAGACTTACAAATGACAAAGCTAAGCAAAATGTGTATTGGAACCTGCAAGGAAATAGGAAAAAAACTAATTAGTAATTAGTTAAAAAGAAAAATTCTAAACCAACATTAAGAGCTAAAAGTGATGTTATTTAAAAAGGAAATGCCCAAAGGACATAATCTCCAGGTATATATAGACTGTTACGGGAACAAGTTTCTGAACAAGATATACAACCTAGTATAATGGATTTACACATATTTAAAGGACAGCTTTAGCCACTCGAGAACTTGAACCACTGACTAACTCAAAGTCCCAAATTCTCTAAGCAGAAAGTAAACTTGGTAACAAAGTCTATTGACTGACCGACTGTTATGTATTTTCTTTCTGATGATGCTTCCTTATGTGATCCCACTTAATCCTCACAGCAACCCTACTGGATAGGATTTTTTTAATCCCATTTTGAAAGTGAGGACACTATCAATCAGAGATAATTCACTTGGTAAATAACTTGGGTTTGATTTCCATTTTCTTTCTTTTTTTCGACAGGATCTAGCTATCTGGTTCTGGTTTTGAACCCACTGTGTAGCCCAGGCTGGCCTTGACTGTCTCAGCCTCCCAAGTGCCATCATGCCTGACCAACTGAGTTCCACTTTCTAGGAATTTCTTCTAGCATTAATGTTTTATTCAAACATTCCTAATATTTTATCCTTTAAGGAAGACAATGATTTATAAATGTAATCTTTTATTAATTTAATAAAAAAATAAACCTCCCTCTTTTCTCTTCCATGATACTGTGTGTTAGAAACCAATGAGATGCTGCCTTTGTAATGTGGCATTTGGTTTTCCCACAGGTGACCTATATATAGGAGGAGTGGCTAAAGAAACCTACAAATCCTTGCCAAAACTCGTCCATGCCAAGGAGGGCTTTCAAGGCTGCCTGGCATCCGTGGACTTAAATGGACGGCTCCCGGATCTCATCTCAGACGCCCTTTTCTGCAATGGACAGATTGAGAGGGGATGTGAAGGTACGAAGCCTTTATAATCACGCTACAAAAAATTCTAATCCCACCTACAAGTAAGAACCAGTCTCACTACCAAGCAGGATTCTACTCGCAGTCTGAACTCGCACGTTACAGCTAGAAATCCTTATTCATGTTTTATACTTTTCACCCCATAAATTCAAGTTGTTTGCAGCCTGACACGCAGGCCTCCTGTACAGTGGGACCTGTGTCTGTGGATCCTGCTCTTTTCGGCTTCTTTACACCGTGCGTGTGTGTGTGCACGTGTGCATGTGTGTGTGTGTTTAATCAGTTTTTATAGCACTACATAGACACGCTGTTTAATGTAGGATATGTATTTATATAGTATTAGCCAGTTAGGCCCATTATTTAAAATCTGCAGTGAATGGGATATGAAATGAAAATGAATTCCTCTTCCCCATTTTCAAATCACTTTTTGGTTTATGTGTCCCTGGCAGTTAGTAAGTATCCATTATACTACCTGTTTGCAAAAGTAGGTTTCATGCATTATGCAAGGCTAATACTCCACACTTCAGAATTGTATTCATGTACCTTCCATTATTTTGTACTTTCTACCAGACCAAGATCTAGAGGAGTTTTTTTTTTTTTTTTTTTTTAATAAATAAATAAGAGTTTCAAATCAGGTTAGTAGAAGAGTTACAGTAACAAATACATTGGGTATTATTATCTTCCTAGCAGTTATTCAGGATATAGAGAAGTATTTTTGATACTTATGTTTATTTTAAATAATTTTCACTTCAACATTTTGATTATTTGAGCCATTTCTCCATCATTAAAGGTACTTTAATCATTAACAAGTTTTATGGTCCTGCATATATTGTTGCTTGTCATTTACTGTTGGATAGTTTGATCTATTTTGAAAATTTTTGATTCATAAGGCAATTTTATGTAGGAGAAGAAGAAGAAACAAATGTGAATTCTAGTCCCCCAGAAGATGATGAATCATTTCTGCTCAGACAAAATATTGACGTTATATTTAGCAGTTACTTAACTACATGGACTTTTTAATTTGAAAATACATTTTCCCCTCTCTCTGAAGCATCTGTTTCTCTGAAAAGTTAGATGAAACTCAAACTTTGCTGAAATAATACAGGAAGATAAACTTACTAATGAAATTCATTACTGAATTCATTTTAATGTTATTTTCATATTTATTCTCTTTATTTCAAATCTTGATATAATAGTTTTGTAAAGCAAAGAGAAAATTATGTGTTCCCTCCCATCAACTTAGTAAAGGGAACAAAATTATTCAGTGAATAAATGCTCCCTAGTAGATGGTTAAATGAATGTGACACGTAACTCTAGTTTTTGGAAATGTTCTAACTGGCTTGAATATATATATGTCTTTATCTAGTTTTTCAAGAAAAAGAAACTAAAACCTTTTTTGGAATGTCTTTTTCAAAAGTAGTACTTTCGATAAGTTGCTTATGTTTTCTCACCTATAAGAAATGAGGTGGGCAGACAGACATATCCACAGCTAAATGTCCACAGTGTAGAAAATGAATACACAGGGTCCTCGTCACTGATCACGATGTTAGTGAGTGGCTAGATGGAAAGGTAGATGGGAGCCTGATGTAGGTGCAGAGTGTTTGCTCGGCAGTCTTTCCAACCTCCTTTCATAAGCAACTTGCTTACTATGATTTATCATATATCACCATGGGAACCCTTAAACTGCGGTCCATAAATTTGAACTCATTCAGTGGATTATGGCACTGAATTCTTTTATTGCCTTACATGTGATTTTTTAAATATCCGAGCTTTACCTCTTCCCATCCCTTTTTCGTTAATCTTAGGACCTTACCCTGCTCCTGTCTTTCTGCACTGATACTTCCCTGATTCTTTCACCACAATACCAAGGTTAACAGCATGTAATTCATGATTATTTCTACCCTGGAAGTTTTCTAGGAATAATTTTTTAGATGTACCTCTCATAGGGCTAATTGATAGATTCACATTTCTTTAGGGTTAGCAACTGGACAGTAGACAGCTGATGTCTCAAGAAAGTTGCCTCTAAATCACTTTGGAGTCACTTAACTTCTTATTAGTAGAAATAGTGTAAGTTTGACATGACCAAGTAATATTTCATCAAGATTTTCTGTCATTCCTAGCCAAAAGATCCACCAATCTCTAAGGTCCAGCCATGCAAGAGGATCTTTGACCTTCTCTCAATAATCAGTTGCTACATTTTATTGTCAGTGTATCTCAATGAGTAATAGTTGATTTTACTTATAAAATACATTGCTTCTATTGAGGGGACCTAACCCTGTCAGAGCCATTTTAAATTAATATTTCTCAAACTTTGGCCTTTATTAGAATCACCTGGAACATTGCTAAAACCCACATTACTGCATACCACAACCAGGGCTTTTGACTCCAGTGGTCTGAGATAAGGACCTAGAATTTATGTCTAGCAAGTACAAGTGGTACTCATGCTATGTACCCCCCCTGGCTTTGACAATTACTGTCTTGGATGACTTCTTCTTGCTAATATAACAGACAAAAAGACCCTGATAATTTATCTATAAGAAGCTCAATAAAGTGAAGGTAACTTCTCTGCACACAGTGAAAATTTTCAAAACCCTTTTGCAGACCCATAGCACAGAACCCTAAACTACTTTATAAGCATTTTAGAAATACTGTCCTATTTGAATATGACTGTCATCACTGCCTCACAGTGGCACCCGTAAGTTTGCATATGCCATTTTATGTAATCCTCAGAACATCGTAAGTTAGGTATTACAGTACTGCCTTTACTCTAGGTCAGCAACTTAAGCCCAGAGAAGTAGTGTTAAAAAGTAGATGATGCAAGTTTGAAGCCCAACTTTACCTTCCTTGAAAGACCAGAAATCTAGTCTATGTCTACACTGTCACTTTCACTTTCATGTATTATGGTTTTTCCACTGTTTTCCTTTCCCTTTCAGGATGCCCTTTAAAAAATACACTCAGTACAGATATCCTTTGGCCTGTTCCTAGTTTTAGTCAGTAATAAAATGAAAGGAGCGTTATGTAACTAAGGGAAAATAAATGTAAGGCTCTGTCTTGTACAAATGCCTGTCAGTGTTTAAGTATTGTTTTAGAAGGGGAGTATTGTGCAAACTGTGTTTTGTCAGGCAAGGTATGCATTCTCTTGTAACATCTGAATGAGCATAGAAATGGGTAATTGCTCTGCTAATGAGCATAGTCTACACTCTGTGTGCACATGACAAATGGTACTGCACGTTCAAATAAGCAGCACAGTCACTTGGTAAGGCATTCATATCTATCCAAGAGAGGAAAAATTACCAAAGCCTTTTTAATTTTCCTTCATTACATGTCATTGACTCAATTAACCATTATACTTATATATATACGCATATACAGTAAACTTCTGATAAATTACTGCTTTCTCATTTTTTGCTTCTCTTAAGATTTATGGCTGTTAGATTTAATTTGTTTGCTGTTCATAGCATTTTCCCCTTTACAGAAGCATGCTTTTTTGAATCTGAACGTTCTTCTGTGTTAGCCCCATTTCAGTACTGCTTACTAACATTTAATATATTTTGCTTTTTTTTTTATTTTGCTGACAAAGTTGCATTGATGAAAGCTGACTTGCAAGGTAGATAGCCCTGTATGTATAAAACAAGACTGAAACCCCACACCATACAGTGGAAACCCTAAAATAACATTTATTACATTCCTGCAGTAACTGTTATTTGGGTTTAGATTTCATTTTTTCCCTTCTTGAACATTGTGCAAGAAACCTCATTTTGTAGCATAGCTTGCATAAAGGCTTTCAGTCTTGAATATGTTTGTATAGTGATTGCCTTTAGTGCTTTGATCATACTTTTTTAGTTCTTTGTTTTTCAGTGTTCTACTTATGACTCTTGAGAAACAGACTAGCATTCTTTTTACCTGTATGTTCAGTGGGGGTATGCCATTTCTATGGAGTTTTTCATTTTCTGTTTCATTGCATGCAATCGTTAAAGCATGTGAATTGATACTTGCCAACATACCTTTCTAAAATGCGCAACAATCATAACTTTACCCATAGTTCATGCCAGGAAAGCTTCTGGAACTTCTTGGGCATTTTTGCATAACTCACTTTGGTTATTTTGCCAGTCTTTACCTCAGTTTCATAAAGTTATAATCTCCATTTCTCATGATGTCTTTATTCATTGGTTTGAAGTTAAAGAGCTGCATTCATTTCCTGAAAACAAAATGTTGACATAATTATTGATGAGAGAATAACATTACCTGCTACCATGATCATACTAGAAATCATGTACTTGCTTTTACCGTTTGTTAGTTTAGTTCATTACTATAATGTATTATTTTACTAGTCTTGAAACTTAAGAAAAACTTTCATGTTATAGCCTCTTAGTTCTTAATCAGGTGTGTAAACAATAACTTTCAAAATTAGTTTGGACCTGTAATTTGAGGTGTTGGCAACTACTATATGTGATCTAGCTAGTACACAAAATAACTGTGTGGTTTTAAAGAACCCAAGTTTCTTTTGGAATGTTTTGTAGGTCCTAGCACGACCTGCCAAGAGGACTCGTGTTCCAATCAGGGCGTGTGCTTGCAGCAGTGGGATGGCTTCAGCTGTGACTGCAGCATGACCTCCTTCAGTGGGCCTCTCTGCAATGACCGTAAGTACTGTCCAAGGACAGTGGAGTGATGCTCACTGCCGCTCCCGCTGCTGTTTGATACCCAGGGACTGAACATGGGAGTTCTTATCCTGTCTTATATTGAACCATCATTGCCAAGAGACACAGTTGTTTATGCAAATGGAAAATTTTTATGTATTAAATTATTATATAGGGGTTCTGTTAGCTAAATCCTGTGATGATAGTGACATTTTAGCTTCTATTGGCATATTATTATTATTACTGTTATTAATGGTCATCGTCTATAAAAGAACTTTCACATTTCCTAGAAATTCTCTTACAGTTTTTGTTCTAATGGTACAAATTGATTTACTTAAAAGAGTCACAAAAAGCCAACAAAATAGAGATTATTCTTAAAATGATTAATGCTTTGTTAATGATTAGGTAAGACGAGAAGGTAAGAAATGATATTGGTTGAATGAGCATCTGTATAGTTCTGGGACTTCAGATACAGTGCATCTGATGATATATTTATTCAGCCATCACACACGGGATAGTATTTGGGTTTTTTCTTTTTACTTTTTGAGACTGGATCTCTCTATGCAATTCAGGCTGGCCTTGAGCTCTCGAACTCTCAAGGATTCTCCTGCCTCAGCAGTCTGAGTGCTGGGATTACAGGGTGAGCCACCAGGCCTGGTTTGACACACGAGATTTCTCTGCAGGTCCGATCCATTCATCTTGCTCCCCTTCCCAGGCCATCTTTTTCTACTCCTTTGGACTGTAAAGACACCTCATGACAAAATCCCCATGCTCTTTCTCTATCTAACTCTTCACCCATATAATCCCCTCTCCTCTAAAGTGCTCTACAAGTTATCAGCAGTCCACTGTCTTCAGCTGGAGCTGTGTGACCAGGACACTTGAATGGGACAGCCGTAATTTCATATTTGACATTAGCCATGAATGAAGTCACCCTCTTCCCTTATACAATCTAGAATTTCTGACATGCAAATATGAAGCAAGTGATGGTTTCAAATTTGTCTTTCGTAATACCATAACTCATCACTGAGTGTAAACTCCCTGTTCAAGGACTCACTTCCCTCACTTTCAAAACATTATTTTGCTTTATATTTTATGAGATTATATTTTGATCGTTGTGAATTTTGTGAGTGTTTACAGGTTTCATGTTTTTACTCTTTCTACATCCATTCAAGTACGCTGATATATATTCACTTTTAAAAAATACATTTGGGGCTGGGGATTTAGCTCAGCGGCATAAGCACCTGCCTTGCAAGCAGGCAGTCGTGAGTTCGATCCCTGGTACTTATAAAAATGAAAAAGACCAAAAAAAAAAAATACATTTAATCTTTGTCTTTCAAAAACTCTTTCTTGTATTTTATGTACTTGTGATTTCTTGCTCCTTTAGTTTCACAATAGAAGCAGGACAATGAAACATAGTATATCAGCATATTCTGTTAGTGTCTAATCTGTATTATTGCTGTGAGAGGCTTGAGAAGGAATTAACTAGTCAATAGGATGAAGTTTTATTCCTTACATTTCACATAGTTCTTGCTTTACAGAACTTAATCAAAATACTAAACCCATTTCCAGCAAAACATTTTTGTCTACTGTTTGCAAAGAATATCCCTGACAAAGCCTCCTCTTTGTAGAGTGCATGCTTTATATTGTATACATACAACAAGTAAAGTCCTAGCATGATGGTACTGGAAAAGTGGTGGTTGAAGGTTTGTGCCTCACAGCAGAGGCTAGGATTTTATGTGGAAATATAACCATTGTCCATTCAGATGGTATTTGTGTCACTGAATGGTATATTGCAATGTCAAATGGAGAGTCAATTTAAAACATTCCACTGAACAAGGTTGCTGCAGACTAGAAATATAATGCAATTTGCCAGCTGTCTTAACCTTCCATTCCCAAATATTGGCTGTAGGAAGAAAATACAACTACTATATAGTGAAAACGCAAACCATGTTTAGAAAAAAGCCTTTCATGACCATGCATCCTTGATGGAGAAATAGCTGATCTTCACTTTACAAATGTCTTCCCTGCAATTATAGTAAACCTAAAGCAATGAAAATGTACAAACACTATTTCTACAAATCAAATCACACTTGAAAATATTAAACTCAATTTGGATTATGTAAATAACCATATACAGAGACTAAATAAGTGAATATACGAAAAACCAAGAATAATACTTAACCTTTATAAATGCTTTAGTTACACTGTGTGTCTACGTCTCCAGGGTAGTAACTTTCTGTGTTTCCTCCTACCACATAGAAAATGCCTCAATTTATTTTCAAGGACAAGCAGCAGTCTGAAAGTTCGTTATGTTTTATTATGGCAAGTTTTTAATTCTGAGAGCAGTCCTGACAGATGTATTCCTACATGTGGTACTTTAGAGGGATTTTTGGATATGAAATTATTTTTCATTTGGCTAAAGAAAGCTCTCTGCCAAACTTTGCTTAATCTAGCTTCCATGTTTTACAAAACAAGTGCCATTTGTTTGTGTCAGCTCATGTATCCTCATCTACTAGTTAAATGTGAATAACACAATCTTCTGTATGTATTTGCTAGATTTTGCCAAAGGGAACATCAAGATCCAACCTTAAGTATCATGTTGTCTTCAAATCATTCTTTGCAGCAAATAATGTGAATGCTGCTCTAATAGCAATGATAAGGCTATTTGTTATTTTATTATAAATAGATAAATGTCACTCAATAAATGTGTCTTCTGATATGCCTCTTGTACAAATCAACATTAAAATTACTCTGGAGCTCTCTCAGAATGCATACATTTTGATTAAATCATTACCCATAACCGGGTTTTCTGGAAATGTGAAGTAATTCTGTGGTTTGCACACTGGGGTACCTTGGTGATGAGGATGTGTAGGTAAAATTTATATTTGAAAGTAAATCTTATTTTTACATCCATTATAATTTGTAGAACAATGATAATTGTTACTTTGAGACTCACAAATAGGAATAGTGTGATTCCTTGGATTTTAACAAACTACCTTTGGGGTAGGGGTTGACTTTTTTTCTTTAAAGAAAAGCAAATTGGATCATTTTGTTTCTAATGACATTTTTTTTCATGGCTTAGTTTTTTAATCTGTAAATTCTGTCATTGCAGCCTCCTACTTAATAGGAAACAAACAAACAAAAAAGAAATAGAGATAGTTCTTTTTAAGAGGGGAAAGAATGCACCACATTTTAAAGAAGAACTCTTTCCTAAAATAGAACTTCTAAATGTCATATATCTGATAAGTTTCAAGGAGTGCGTTAGAATAAGTAGAAAACTTTATTTATATTAGCCTGGAGATATAATTAACAGTGGGAAGATGGGAATACTTTATAGCTTGTAAATGTAATCTCAGATAAATCATACTAATTAATTGAAAGGAATCTTTAAAAAAAGAAGCACTTACGTAAAGAGATGCCAAAGGCTATGTTTAAAGAAGTGTGTTTGTGAGAAATCTTTTTTCCAGCAGAAAATAGCCATTTGAGTGATCTACTCATTAGCAAAAGCAGGTCTCTGTGCGCGCGCGCGCGCGCGCGCGCGCGCGCGCCTGTGTGTGTGTGTGTGTGTGTGTGTGTGTGTGTGTGTGTGTGTGTGTGTTCTCAATTCTTCAACTCCTCTTCCATGTTACTATTAAATGTTAGGCCTTTGTATCATTTTTCTGGCTTATTGTGGTCATTTGTTGGTTGTCTTCCCCTTACTCTTTCTTTTTTTTTCTGATCATCCTTACTAATTTCATTCTTCCTATTCTCTTTGATTTAAATTTCACTAGTCTCTTGTCCTCTCAATCAGGGGCAATAATTTTCCTCTCCTGATTTCGCTGAAGTTTTTATTATCACCGTTATGTTCTAACATACAGTTTCTATCCTTGATCTTACCTCAAACTCACTGTGAATCTATGTGTGTCTTTCAAGAATAGTACTTGGGGGCTTGGGGGGCTGGGCGTTTAGCTCAGCAGCGTAAGTGCCTGCTTGGCAGATTTGTTGTGACTTCAGTCTCTGGTATAAACAAAACAAAACAAAAAAACAAACCCATTTAGTTCTTATATGGGCTGGGGATTTAGCTCAGTGGCGTAAGCCTGGCAAGTGCAAAGTTGTGAGTTTAATTCCCTGGTACAAAAAAAAAAAAAAAAAAAAAAAAAAAAGTATTTGGGTGGGCGGAGGCTTGTCCAGTGTTTTTTTTTTTTTTTTTTTGTTTGTTTTTTGTTTTGTTTTGTTTTTTTAAAATCGGTACCAGGGATCAAACTCACGAACGCCTGCTTGCAAGGCAGGTACTTATGCCGCTGAGCTAAATCCCCAGCCCTGTCCAGTGTTTTTTTTTTACAGACTATTGATCATGATATCTCATTAACCTAATTTTGACCCAATACATGAACTTTGCAAGAACAGTTGTATATTTCAGTGGCCAACACTGTTTTCTAGAATCAACTGTCAGGGATTCATAAACCTCCATGATCCAAGCCAGTCTTTATTTCCATACTTATCTGCTGCCGAACCTTGTCCATGTGGCGTGACATACACTTTCCAATTTCCTCACTGTTGCATAGGCTGATTTCTCCACCTGGGACATGCTGGGATCCCACCTGGAATGCACTCTCTTCAGTATTTTTGCTTGAAGTAATAGAATTTCCTTTTCATTCTCTGCTTAAACTGTTTCATCTTATGGAAATTTGCTTGGTACTGTATGCTGGACATTACCTTTTCTTCTTAGAGAGTATTTTACTCTACCTCATATGCAGACATTTGAGAACTTTTTCTTCAGATTACTGATTGAATGCTTACTGTATCCAAGCCTATGCTGGAATTACACATTTTACACCAACTCATCATCATCAAATCAGTGTGTTAACCGGTAATTCACTTCTGCTCTTACTTGGTGGTCTGGAAAGAATGTGACCATATTAGCTAATGTAAGTGTCACCTTGGAGAAGCTGAATACGGATATGGTCACGTGAAAAATAGTGAACATAATAAAAACACTGTCCCATTAATTAGTATGGAAATGT